TTTAATCCATAATCATCAAAATTGAAACAAATAAAGGCTTGAAATATTTCACTTTGTGTGCAGTGAACTAATATAACATACAAGTTTCACTTTTTGAAACAAATTATTGAAATAAATGGACTTTTCCTTGATATTCTAATTTTTTGGCACATACCTGTATAGACAGGTGTGTGGCTTTCCTAATCACGTCCCATCAGTATAATCAAACACAGCTGGACTCAAATGAAGGTGTAGAACCATCTCAGGGATGATCAGAAGAAATGGACAGCACCTAAGTTAAATATATGAGTGTAACTAACTAGGGTCTGAATACTTATGACCATGTGATATTTCAGTTTTTCTTTTTTAATAAATCTGCAAAAATGTCAAAAATTCTGTTTTTCAGTCAATATGGGGTGCTGTGTGTACATTGAGGAAAAAATTGAACTTAAATGATTTTAGCATATGGCTGCAATATAACAAAGACTGAAAAATTTAAGGGGGTCTGAATACTTTCTGTACCCACTGTAAAGCTTGCTGATCACAACTTATTTGCAGAGGCTATCCAGGATACCAGTACCAAGGGGGCAACTCTTATCCAGCCACTGCTGGCCCTGCACACTACCCTGCCCAGCCTCCAGTTTCAACAGTGGGTATGTATTATATTTAGTATCTGGGGTGCTATTTTCTACTTTGTAACACAAGCCCCTTTTATGCTGCCCGTTGAAGGCAGGATTTTTGTGCCAATTTTCTGCCACACCATTCTGAATAAAAGGTACCAAGCTGGCATGTGGGCTCAGTGTTGATCCTCTTGTATTCTGCCACAAGAGGTAGTAAAATTGGTGCAACTGTTCTGCCTTGGCTTCTTTGTAAGGCCCGCTTCATGCTCGTTATGGAGGGTGATGCAAACTAAGGCTATTGGTGCATTTTAAATTTGACATTTGTACAGGTTTTAAAAGTTAAAAACACTAGCACAGCAAGATACAGATGAAAATGTTGACTCAAACTGTTACACAAGTCTTTATCGTTTATAAGTTTTGAAAAATGTGAAGTTAACATGTGCTTTATGCTACAGTAGTACAATGAATCAGTATTAAGCCAAATGTTAATGCAACCCTGGAAAAATAGAGTAGATGTCTTGCTTTCGGGACTTTAGTCAAATATGGATCAAGACTTTTGACCTTCTGACTCAAACTCTCTCACCCTCTGTCTGACCTCGGTGGCACGCCGAGCTGCTAGTGAAAGGTCGTTACTGTAACTAGAGTGGGGAGCATTAAAGGCCAAAAAGGAACAGGTCCATCTTCCAGCCCCAACACCCTACAACTCAGAAGCACACAGTGCTATATTTGGGTTGCAAACAGTTAACTTCACACAAAGACAGACCTACGATCAGGGGACCGATCTACTGTCCCAGCATCAGAGAGACCAGCAAAATGCTGGTCAAGGACCAGCATGCAGAGGGAGCTAGAAGCTGTCTACTATATTTAGTGAATGAGAAAAAAATCATTTTGCCTCTGAACTACTCAGGTCTCAAGGATGAATCAACTCTGACATTTGTCTTGCTGACTCCAGACTGTACTCCAGATTGTCTTGACTCTGGAGTCATCCATTAGTGCATTTACGCTTGCATAATGTGGTATGTGTCAGTGTCTGAGGCATTAATCTGTTATGTTTTAATGACTGATGTTTTGTTTTCTTGGACGTTCCATGTACATTTATGTGGGAACAAAATATTAGAAAAACAAAGCATACAGTTGTATGAACATTTTGAACACAAACAGAACTTCATCTATATATACACACCATTTAGTGTTAACACAGTCCAATAAAACACCACCAGAAAGGTTGTGTTAACTGCTGGAATGATCAGTTAGATTGTATTATCACAGTGTACAGGGGCTTCCAGCCTTCTAGTAACTGAGTGTAAAATTCTTTTGTGTCATACTTCTTTTCACACCTTTTCTTTGCATTGGCTCTAGATAGATGTGATGCTAGACTAAGTTATCTAGTTTATAGATCCAGTGGCTCATCATTACAGTACTGGATCGGCTGCTGTTTTCTGTTTGGTCTGCTCATTGTCTTACATCACTACTTGACCTCCTCTGAAGGCCCGAGCAGAGATGGCACCATTGGCGAAGACACCATCCGTGCATCTCTGATTTCAGCAGTAAGTGACAAGCTTCGCTGGAGGATGAAGGAGGAGATGGACCGGGCTCAGGCTGAGCTGGACGCTTTGAAGCGAACGGAGGAGGACCTGAAGAAAGGACATCAAAAACTAGAGGACATGATTTCAAGACTGGACCAGGAAGTGGTGAGAGATCCTCCTCTTTTTCAATGTAATATCCATTTTTTCTTCTTGTCATCTTTTCTGTATTAACAAAAGCTAAGTATTTTAATGGGTTCCACCAGACTGAGGTTGACAGGAACATTGAGCTGCTGAAGAGAAAGGATGAGGAACTGAGTGAGGCCTTGGAGAAGATGGAGAACCAGTCTGAGAACAATGACATAGATGATGTCATTGTGCCCACCGCTCCGCTGTACAAACAGATCCTGAACCTGTATGCTGAGGAGAATGCAATCGAGGACACTATCTTCTACCTGGGAGAGGCCCTTCGTAGGGGTGTCATAGACCTGGAAGTTTTCCTCAAGGTGACTACTTCAGCACAACCACAAGGAGATGCACAAGAGAAACAAGCATAAAAACACACTTCAGTCCTCTGGTTTTTATTAACTTGACTGTTTCTCTTTTCCTGCAGCATGTACGCCTTTTGTCCAGGAAGCAGTTCCAGCTTCGGGCCCTCATGCAAAAAGCCCGCAAGACTGCTGGCCTTAGTGATCTTTACTGACCCACACTGACTAAATGGAAAAATAATTCTGTCTTCATGTTCTCTTTCTCTGTTTTATTCCCTTTTATTGTCTTCTAATATTTCAAAGCCTTTTTAAAATTCTCTATAAAATCTTTGTAAGACAGAAATCTGAACAGCAACATTTATGAAGAATTGGACAGTCTTGTTTAGTACAAACTGTGGCCACAGTTGTGTAGTATGACACCATTTGAATCTGACCAAATACTTCTTTGATATCATTATGCATTAACAGTCATGACCCAGATGTGACACCATTACTTTTGTGCCCCAGTATGATGTAAAAACTAGTGTCACCACACTGTGAACCATGTATTAACCTGCTTAACACACTTGACATATTTGTTAAAAGTAAAGTCCAGGCCTAATCTGGTTACAGCGTGTGTGAAACTTGCCCTTAGTGTTTGTGGTGTGACTGGGTTGGTATACAGCAAGTTTGTGTCCATATCTATATGTTCCATGGCACAGTAGCCTACAGGTTCTGACAGCAGTTTCTGTGCCAGCCAGTCATGTGTCTAGTAAGCATGAATTGTTGGGGGCTAGCAGAGAGGCGCTTTGTAACGACCATTATGTCCACCCCCTCATAATGAAAAGGTTACTCTCCGATATAAATACCCAGGGCAGCCTTTCAGCAAGGACAGGGGTTCAGCCTCAGGATTTAATACTGTTGGGGGTCTGGGTCATGGTCAGCAGCCATAAGGGGGGGCACTTTTCTTACCACAGAGGTGATGAACTGTTTCTTCACCATCTTCTTTGGTTCTGTTTATCAGTAGAATCTTCAGCTCCTATGCCACCTGCCCAAACTCTGATGTTTTTCCCTGTTCTGTGTGTGTGTCTCTTCTCAGTGGTGTGAGTGGGGTTCTTTCACTGTCAGCTGCTCAGTTCTACCTTTTCAGTTTGACTGCATTGACCAGAAGCAGAAGGCAGTTTTGACATGCTTCATTCTAAGGTATTACAAGGGAAGTTCTTCATGTCTTTAGATTTTCTTGTGCTGCCCATTCATTCTCAGTCCAGCTGAGAAATTTGTTTTCAGTAAGAAGTTATGAATAAAGCTCAAGTGTCAGGGTTTATAGAGAACTGTTGTACTAATCAGAAAAGTTAACTTATGTAAAGATTGCAAATGTTTCAGTTAAATTAGCCTTTTACTAAATGCACTTTGAATTGTAAAAAATGTTTCCTTCTTTCCAATTCAGCCATAGACCACATGTTCTTTTTATCTGTAGATTTATGTAAAGCAGTACAAATAAAACATCCGATTTAATGGTTCACCGCTATCATTATTTCAATATTGTTTGAAGGGTTATATAATCACAGAAAGGTTGCATGTGTTTTCTCTTCACATTTGTTACATAGCTCTAATGAATATTTCAGAGTCCAGCAGTCTCGCTGATCAAATCTTTTTTTTTCTTTCCCCTTTTTAAATACTGGTGTTTGTCAAGAGGTGCAGCATAGGACCCTTGGTGTCAGCTACTGACCACATTTTGATGTGGTGTTCACCTGTAGCTGTGCACCGGGAGCAGCCGAGTCAGCTGATGTGTAAACAAATGACCGCTCACTAGATTGGATGGCAGACAGGAAAGGACAGACAGGAATCATTATCCTGGCAGATTTATTTTATGTTAAGGCAAATAAATATTGATATCCAGCTCTCATGACAGGTACAGTTCCTTGGTGAGTGATTGACCATATCTAATATAATATTAATACATCTTAAGAGTTATAAATATCTTTTTTCTGTAGATGTCCTTTCTTCCAGAAAGAGCAAAACAAATACTTAGGGTGTGTACGAACTTTTGTCAGGATTGTTACCTTCTGTTATAGCCTGATTCTAGCTGACTCTCCCACTGGCTCTCCGATATCTCTCTGCTAAGTTAAAGTAAGGTAAGAACCTTGGTAGTGACCCCTTTAATTCTCTCAGATGTTAACCTTTGCCGGTACTACGAACCTCATATTTTCAATTGTTCTGTCAGTGCACTTGTGATTAAATTTAAAAAGACTTCAATGCCTTTACTTTTCTCAAATACAAGGTATTACAGGATTTTTTTTTTTTCCCCCCAGTGATGTCTGCAGCAGTGTTGTTACAACTCTAGGGCGATAGTAAACCCTCCTCATATACAGAATGGAATGTCTCCATTATACTCCAAATGAAAAATAAACAGATTACCACGTGGAAATAAATGGCAACAATCGCAGAAATAAATATGAACTAGCAACAAGGAGTGTCTAGAAGTGGCAACAACAGTACACAGTAACATACAGTACAGAGAATATGCTCACTATGCAAAGGATGGTTGACGTAACAGGACAACAAATAATGGGCAATATCTAAAATCTAATCTCTCTTTCGGACACAAGCCGAGCTCAAATCCTAAAGTCACATATTGTATGTATGAGAATTCAATCATGAAGAGGGGGCAACACGTGGGAGATGGCAAAGGAAAATGACACCCATGATTGAATACCTGAAGTTTTAACTACAAACACTTGACCTACTTATATATTCAGAGGTCTCACTCGCCTGTTGCCATAAAGAACACAGGAGGTATGGTAGGAGGGAGTCAACCACCCAGTGTATTGCGTGGTTTTCAGGTTGGATGGGAGAATTCAGGGGAGCATTCTTCACAGGGTGAGCTCCTTTTGTACACCCCACAGGGTCTCAGCACTCTTCACCAGCTGCTTCTCCTCTTCAGCCTTCAGTGTCATGTGAATGACATCGGTTAGGCCGCTGTTCCCCAGGACACAAGGGACGCTCAGGAAAACCTCATCCTTCACTCCATGCATGCCCTGTCAGCCAACAGGAAGGACAAGACGGTAAGGGCAGGGTTAGCAAGCCAATTCATAACATCTAGAGAATACAGATTTTTAAGCTAATAAACTGTGCATGGCTTGTTTCTAGGTGCCTCACCTGGACCAGCGTGGACACAGGGTGCACTTTGTGGAGGTTCTTCATGATACTTTCTACCAGGTCAGCCACAGACATGCCAATGGCCCAGGAGGTGTAGCCCTTCAGCTTGATGACCTCATAGGCTCTGTAGTGCATATACATAGTGAGGGGAAAAACAAAAACACGTCTCCTGGACTGAAGAGAAAAATCTGTCTGCTTCAGTATTTAGGACTCTTACTCCTTTCTTCTAATATTGTTTGTGGAAATTAATGTTACTGCTCAATGATTAGTGAATTGGCATAAACACAATATAATCAAACAAATGCTGAGTGTGGTCAGTTCAGAAGTAGAGTTGAGACAACTGAGGAAAACGGTGCTTATGTGGATGAAATTGCAGCTGCACCTTGACCTTTATACTGAGGGGTGTACAAGTGTTTATCTGACTAAAATTCAGACAGGAGGGAAGGATTTGCTCATTCTGAAAATTGAATATGCTTTATCAGTCCTGTTGAAGATTTGCATCTCTGACTCATATGTTATATGTCTGACTGAGAAATTCCTGCATATCCTTCATGTTCTTTCCAGATGTTTTCATGCTGAGAATTGCGCCGTTAATCACGACGAGAGCAACACAAAATTAATATCTAATGAGGTGTTTTCAGGCTAGTTTATAACTGTCCTTTCTCAGTCTCTGCTGTGCTGAGCATGATGCCTGCAGAGAGTGGCACAAATGTGGTCCATGAGAGTAAAGCAAACAATGCAAGATGAAGGCAGTGCACCATAAACTCAAATCTGAAACATACAGTGCAATTGCATGTAACTCTGAAGGGGAATGTGAGAAAATAAGGATGTTTTAAAAGCAAATGTCAAACATGTCAATTTTAAATAAAGGTTCTCCTCTATTGGTCATGTAGATGGAAAGAGGTGTAGCTTTACAGATTCTGTTCTGAGACACCCTTTGTGAGATACAGTACATCATTCACTAAGATAAACCACCTACTCTGTTGCACATAACTGAACTCCTGAAGCCCTAACACAACTCTGGTTGGCAATTAAATAATGGTACAATATCAAATTTTACAGGGCAAACTGTTGCATCATTACATTTTGTAAGGAATGACTTCATAAACTGAAATCCATCAACAGATCTGAGTTACAAACTTAGCAATGATGAACACGGACAAGGAGCCATGTTTAGGGTCTATTAAAGATCAATAATAAGAGGAAAACCTCTCTTTGGTCAGGACTGAATTTTTAGGTATTCTACTAAAGCAGACCCAGGGGTGTCAGTGAGGTCAGAGCGCTATTCTACAGCATTATGTTACAGTTATCATATAGCTATTGTGTTTTTACTGGACGGGCTCTAGTAAATGTCAAACACAGTAGTGTACTGTGGTTCTGCCTGTTTGCTTTTTGTGTTCACAGCCCCAGTCAAATTCTTCACCAGGACTAGTCAGCTCCATTCCTGTTGGTCTTTTTGTTAATAAGCCACTGTGATTAGCCTTTACATCCTAAAGATCTTTCAATAAAACATTAAACTTATGGTTTCCACCTCAGTGCCTGACATGGCTGATTACAATGTTGAGTGAGGGGAGTTCTTTCAGTTCATTGGTAGATTACTGAAAAATACACTCTACTCACCCATCAACCACTGTCTTATGAACCTGCTTCCACTGCTCACCGTCACCCTCAGTCCCCATATTTGGGTTGAGGGCTTGCAGTGAAACTCCAGCAACGTTCACACCACTCCATACAGGCACTATGAGAAACAGACGCACATTAAAAGTGATAAATTTGTAAATCTGATTACAAACTGTATAGACAGAGGCAATCATGCGCATGATGTACTGTAGCTACACTAAGATTTGAGAAACAGTTACAGTGGAAGGCTAGCAGAGATGTTATTTTTAGTCAGGGCTGCATACCACTGGAGTCTCCATGCTCTCCAATGATCCAGCCGTGACAGCTGGAAGGGTGGAGGTGGAGCTTCTCGCCCATGAGGTGGCGGAAACGGGCAGAGTCCAGGTTGGTGCCAGAGCCGATGACACGGTGACGGGGGAAACCACTCAGCTTCCAAGCCACATAGGTCAGGATGTCCACTGGGGATTTAAAGAATGAGAGGAGAAATGATCCTCCATTAATCTACAGGTGTTAAATGTATACCCTCAGCAATTTCAGGTTGCACCACACCTTCTCTTCTCACATTTCCATCCTCCCTTGTTCACACACCCCCTGTGGCTAACCTGGGTTAGAAACCACCATCAGGATGCAGTTGGGGCTGTACTTGACAATGTTGGGGATGATAAACTTAAAGATGTTGACGTTGCGCTGCACCAAGTTAAGACGGCTCTCGCCCTCCTGTTGGCGGGCACCAGCAGTCACCACCACCACCTTGGAGTTGGCTGTCACACTGTAGTCTAGCAAAATGACAAAAAGTGTGTTTTGGCGCAGTTGGTGAATAATAGTTTCAGCAAGAATCATTAACTAAGGGTCACATGTCCTACCAGATTGAAACCACATTTTGCAGCAGTCAAAAGGTTTTAGTTATTTTGTGCTTTCTCACCTTTGTCAGCCACAATCTTGTGTGTCTTGAGGAAGAGGGATCCATGCTGCAGGTCCAAGGCCTCACCCTTCAACTTGTCCTCCATCACATCAACCAGAGCCAGCTCATCACACAAGTCCTGGTTATGTGCATACAGGTATTAAGGCATTCTGACAACTTATAATACACTTTATACTCTAGCTTAAAGGAGTATTATGTAGCAATGGCTACAATGAAGCTTACAGTAATTAACAGGGACATTGAGAGAGGAACACCATTCATCTGTACCTCAGTTTAATTAGCAGCTATGTTAGCTTCAAGATTGGTGACCTAGTTTCTCTTGGCCTCTGTTTATCCTCAGCTGGTTATTATTTCATTCATAATGTTAGTAGTGATGACCTATTCACCTTACAGTGGCGGTTTAAATAAAGTCCCTTAAAATCACCATTTAATTTTTGTTGTACTTAGTAATATTCTGTTCTACCACCAGTTTAGCTTTTAAGCCATCTAATTTCCCCCTACTTCCCATTTGCTCATTTCAAGACTCGATAGTGATAAGAAACCACACGGACACACATCACTCAGCTCTCTCTTGGCTTCACACCTTCCCTCTCTTTCTTTCTCACCTTGAGCAGTATGCTGATGGCTGAGGCCATGCCCACCATGCCGACACCCACCACCGTCACCTTGTTCCTGCTGCCGACAGGCTCTTCCTTCATCACATGGGTGATCAGCTTCTCCTTGGTGGACATCTGAGGAAGAGGTGGGTGTGGGATTGACACAGACAGAAGGGTAACAGGGGAAGAAGAGGAGAAAGTGAGAGAATGTGTTACGACAGAGGTGATAGGAAAATGTTGGGTAGCAGGTACAGAGAGTACAGGGGGGTGAGTGGGAGTGGAAAGACAGAGGCAGTCAAGTAGTGCTGCATAATGTATGAACCCATTTGAATGCATCGTCAGTAATAGGCTCACAAGGGTGTAACATGACTGCTTCCTCATCCCACACTGACTGAACTTGGGTTTGCTGTTTCCTTCATCACAGAATTGAAACCGAGCCCTTTACAAATCCCCGAACACGACTAATACCAACCACAAGTTTCAGTTTCCAGACTATTTCTCTCTTTTTTATTTCAAGCAAAACATGTATAGACAGTAGCCTACTTATTGCTTCACAGAGCGCCTTTGTGTCTCCATGGCAACCACTGCCTGGAAAAGTACTGCAGCCTGTATTTGTGCAGCACAGTCATCCTCAGCTGACGTCACTCACACACACACACACACACACACACTACCATTCGTCTCCTGGCTGGGATGCTCACATTTGCATCAATGTGACTACTCTGGCTCTCTCTGATATGGACACATGCATGTAGTGGAGTACCTGGTAGGATTAATATACTGTAAGTACCTCCTTGAGAGGACATATAAGACCTCTCAATGGGAGGACAGTGGAACAGTCACACCTAATATCCCTCTACCATCTGTCACTCAAAAGTGAACTGAAGGCCTGTTACATACCAGAACCTGACCTTGCGGTGGGGCTGGATTTGTTCTGGACAAGAGGACTCTATGTTATCTACATTAAAGGATTCCTGTATATGTTCAATACTAGCCAAAGTTCCTTTCTTTGCTGTTGAAATATGATGCACATATAAGAGTAAAGTTACTCCAAAAACAGACAGAGGCATTTTCTCAAGCTTTCCTTTTTTTATTTTTAAACCATCTTCAGGAGCAGGCAAGACTGCCAAAGCAGCAGTGGCTAAATAGTACCTGGTGTGCCAGCTGATTGCTCAGGTACATCAATTATGCTGGTGGTGTCACATGTTAATAAGTAATTCCTGCGACCAGTAAGAGACTTACAGGTCTACATCCTGGTGTTTTGTGCCACTCTGCTTCTCTTAACAGTCCCTCACATACATGTAAAGACAGAAATTTGTGCCAGCCTTATTCGTAGCCAATCAACATAGCTGATTGTGCTGCGAGACATCTTTATTCTCTTAAAATGCGCATCAGGTTGGCCTCCTGTTTAACCATTTCCATCAACGATTAGGCAAATATAACTGGAACAAATTTCGCAATAAGTGTGCATGCATCATAGGCTGGTGTCTAATATTTGAGACAGACGGATTATCTTACCTTTAGAGTTTAATTTAACAAGGTGGACACACGAACTGGAATGTACCTGCTCCCGGTGCAGCGTTTCTGCAGCAGTGGTGGTGCAGAGGGGATGTCCCCCAGTATTTAAAGACAGCCTCCTCCGTAGGCGTTACGTGTGCACATACGAGGCAGGGTGGGTCTGTGTCCTCGTGTCGCGTGTCACGTCCGAGGAAAGATGCGGGAGCGCGCTTCCTGTGTATCACTACTTCCTATTTAATATATAGATGTTGCAAACGTAGATTACTGGACGCAGCATCTTTCCTGTCCCACAAACATAATGTTGATACCACCTCTGTCACGGTCCCACTTCTCAAAACATTACATCAACGGGCAGCCACAGTTTATTTTGCCGGCAGTAGCTGTTTCTCAGCATAGATGTGAGTCATAGATGGAAAAAATGTATCCAGGAAGAAATGATTTCAACTGCCCGTTAGTTTTATATTCTGAGATCAACAGCATTTTAGCGCCCCCTGCTGTCGGGTTTTAGATATTACAACACAGGCCCCGTTACTAACAAGGCCACGGTGACATGTCTGGGGAGTCTTAGAGCTGACCTTTTGTGGCTTCATGTACGCATATAAAGAAAAGCATACAGTATTTCCTAATATTATTAAAGCTCATTCTTGTGCAGCCTTACTTGCTGAGGAAATAAAAACATTCAAGAATCGTTCTTATATTGATTTGAAATCATTTCCAGTGTTCTTAGTGCTCTCCAGTGTTTGCAGACATCATTAGAGCCATCTTTCCACTGCCACCAGAAACCCTCCCACACTCAGGCTGTGGGGGAGGAGGGGGTTCAAAGTTAATTCTACCTGCAACCATAAGATGGGAAACTCTGAGTTTTGGGTTCTGATCAGAGTTAGTTCAGTTAACTCAGAGTTAAGCTTATAAAATAAATTCATCATGGCAACAGGTAAATAAAGAGCAAAGCCAGCCTTTTAATCCAGCAGCAGGAGAAGAGCCTGAACTGGAGTAAAGAAAAGATCAATAAATCCACTCCTTCATTTGTTTAGCAGACTTGGATTTTTTTAATAGATGGTAAAGGGCTAGGATCCATCTGTTTGTTACATTTTACAATTTAAACAGGCTAAATTTATTCAGCTGTAAGATGATGGGAATTTGAGATGGAAACGTGACTCACCATACAACTGTTCTTGAGCAACTGCACCGCCTCAGACACCCAGTTAATGCAAAACACAGATTTATTTATTATGGTGACTTGAGGACAACTTTTGTCTGCATGTGAGAAAAAGATAAAGAAAGAAAGAAGACATGAAATGAAGGGATGTGTTACATCTTTTTTGGTTTTTATTTTGCATCTCTTTGTGCTAATTTTGTATCCTTTTGCTGTCAGTTTGTGTCCATTGCATTAAGCTATAGTTCTGAAACCAAATAGTTACTGTCACAAAGGCAGCTTCTGTTGGCATCATCCCTGTACTTTACCCAATGAAAGACTGTATAGGAGGAGCTGGGGGACTGATTGGCAGAGAATTAAACTGTTTTGTTGAGCAATTAAATCATTTTGTAAGAAAAAAATTCCAAGGACATCTGTCTCTAGTTTCAGCTTCTCATATGTTAGTATGTGCTGCTTGTGTTTCTTAGACATTCATGATATACTAAACAATAACAAACTTCTTTCAGTTTGTCATTAAGGATATAACTTCATATTAATGGATAATGAACATAGCTGCTGCCCTGTAACAGATGACAAGCTTAGGCTCAAACGTTTAGAGTAAAAACATGACTGTGCTTATGCGCTAGCGCCCTCTAGTGCAAATAGCTGGAAAATCAGGAGACACAATCGTCAGTCAAACTAATAAGGTCGTATTTACACAGGCCTTTTGGGGGTCAAAATTGTAGGTTCATTCTAAACACAACCAGCCTATAATCTATTTTCATAATTTGCTGAAGCCTCTTCACACCAGTAGTGTGAAGTGTTTGTTTATGAGGCTCAAAATGTTTCAGTTTTTAGTGAAATTGTCATAAATGCATAAATTCATATATGTTCATTATTGAGGTCATAGTTAAAGGTGGTGTTGTCCAGGACTACATTATATTTAGAGGTGTCTATATTTTTGTCCTCCCCAGCTACATACAGTACATGAGGAACAGACTATTAGGACATATTTGATGCTTTTGGCACACATAGTGTTTGTTTTATAGACATTTAACAAACAAGTGAACCTGAGGCAGGAAGTGAAAGTATGAAGAAAGATGTCTGTGCAGAATGAACGGTGAGCAGTGTATAAGTAAGGAGGGAAACTAATGAGGCGCAGCTGGTGGGTGATCAGCGAAACGGGGCAGGTGAGTCTAATAGTGTGCAAGGGAGCTGACTAGTGTGAGGAAAGGTGTCACCAGGCAAACCTAACAGGGGTCTGTACCCCAGTAGTGCTTTGTCTAACAACACCCCTGGTTAAATATAAGCAAAATTGTGTTTTTACTAATTTGCTTTTTGTATTTTAAAGTGAAAAATTGAAAATGAACTTGTTTTTTCCATTATCTGATTTCCTGCGCCACAACAGATTTGAACTGAACGGAGAGGACATGGGCTCTCTTCTATCAGGCAAATATGTACAGTAACCAGTTTAGAACCACAGGTGTGGAGTAGAAAACAACCTTCAGTTAGTTCAGAAATCTTTTTTTTTACTTTCAACTAAATACACATCAGAGTCATAACAGATTAATCCCCAGTTTACCTCTCATTTCCTTCTTGTTTTAAAATCTGTTTTAAACAGGTGTACAGAATATGAATATGTTTTTGATAAGTACATTCTCTTTGTGTTGTCCGTCTTCACAGACAGACTGCAGCCACTGCACCATGCTCAAGAAAACTTCAGAAGGCCAGATATTTACGGACATGGAAGTTTGAACTCAAGTTTTGATTTACATACTCCATTAACCACCTTTCAGCACTATTATTATTAGTAGGCTGCAATACGATCAGTTCACCAGCTGGCGGTGCTATCATAAAGGTAGTAGAACCTGCTCCAGACTTCCATGTACTGATATAATGGCCACATGGACTTGAATCCTAATATCAACACTGGTTTCTAGGTGAGCAACACTATTTTGTGATAGAGAAGCTTGTCTAACATCACAAAGAGGAGTCATAGAATCTAACTACACAAGTTATTCAAATGGAAAGCTTTATTAAAGTCATAGAATATCACATTTCAAATTTAAAAACAAAAGAATCAATAAGATTTAGAAGCAGATATAAACCTCACTCCTTTACCTACTAATGGTTGCTGCTGTAGATCCCCAGAGGTCATCTTCACTTAACAACATGTGATACTGTATTTAATCAATGGTAGCAACATCACCCACTCAGAAACCCAGGGAAAGTCTCCTCAAATGATAATCCCAGCTCCTCACTTTATATCACATGGGCCATGACTAGAAAAGTAATGAAAACTTCACTAAGATGTATTTAGGTGTCCCTGTGTGTGACTATGATAGCATGAAACACTGCTGGAGACAGATGAAGTTCCATTAAATATGTGTGAAATCATACTTCATCTCCCGTTGCTTTATGCCTTCAGTTTGCCTACGGCAATGTACTCCAAACTTTCCCAGACTCTACGGAACTTCTTCTTGTCCTTGCTACTGAATTACTTGTATTTGTCTCTATCTCCCACCACCACCTTTAATGGTCTCTGGAGCATGTGCCAATTCAATCACTGCTCGCCCCCAGTCGAATAAAGGACCACTAGTTTGTCATGTTAGCTTCCCCTCTCACACCGAAGGGTGAGTTGCCAACACGCTGTTATTGCACAGGGCATTGGGACTAAGGGATGTCTCCTGTGGGTGGCATCCTACTGGTTTCAGCCTGCTGTGTAATAGAGAGGAATGAGGAACAAGGCCGCATCAATCAGAAAAGGATTCTCCGGGGAGCGAGATCACTCTCACTATGACATCTACCTTCCTGATGCTGCCTTATTTTACCTCAAACATCCTGAACTACAAACATTTAAACCTGCAATCCTGTGATTTCTTCACTTGCTAATTTGTCCTTCCCTGTCTTTCAACATGAATCAAACTTTTCCCTTTCATCTTAGTCACTTCTCGCCTTCTTTTCCTTCATATTCTTCCTGTTTTCTTCCTCGCTCCCAGCCCTCCCTCCCCTTTCTTTTCCTAGCTTCCAAACTCGCTCCATGCACACCTTCTGCTGACAATTGATAACATCCCTGATGAAGCTCCTTTATTAACCACCCACAGGCAGATTAACCAGCACAATAATACACCAATCAGCAGCAATTATGCACTGATAAGCCCAGGGAGAGCTCTGCTGGGTGTGGGAAATGATGTGGCAGTTGTTGAGTGATTGGGTGTGTTTTAGTGGAGGATTAAGGGTTGCATGTCTGTGCATACATTTATGTGTGTTTAATTGAGTGTACCTTTTTTGCCTGCAGTCTTAATCCCCTATAGGACATAAATCAGTCCTAGTCCCCTGGTCCTTGTCAGGTGCTAATTGAAGTCAAGAGCAGACGGCTGTATCGCCGTCCTCGTGGTCTCAAAGTTGTTGGTTAAAGTGTGAGCATGAGTGCAACAAACCAGCAGGATAAACAGAGGTTTTGAATCAATATGGTGCATCACTACTTTCTCAGTGTGTTATTATGATTGAATACATCCCTTCTCCCATCCTTACAACATATTAAAACACTTGAGTTACCATGTTGGCACTTAGGTTTTGGACTTCACTGCCTGAGCAGCAGCCTGGCATTGTACAGAGCAGCTAAATGATGATGAAAATGAGTGGAAGGGTAGATATGAGTTTCCTGCCTGCAAGCATTCACTCACCAGCCAAGTCTGTTTGAAGAACAGCTGTGTGGATTTATCCTCCCCCTCCCCCTCCCTTTTTTACACACACAAACACATAATCATATGCATGCAAGTACACACTCACATGTGCACAAGTATACGTGCTTGCACACACACATAGAAACGCGCAACCAGGAGCTTCTTTTTAATGGCAGACCAAAAAGCCTGGGAGCTGTTTACTACTGTGCAACTGGGAGGCAAGCACACCAATCTTTCAATTCCAGGTTTGCTTTAATCCCGTAAATTTGCCAAAGTGTGTTTGCAGATGCACGAGATTAGTGGAG